CCTTTTTGATTCTAGGGATTGAGCCCAAGAGTGCTCTACCACTGAGCTACATCCTCAACCCTTTTTACTTTTATTTTGAGACAGGGCTTTGTTAAATTGCCCAGGTTGGCCTTAAACTTGCGTCCTCCTGCCTCAGCCTCCTGGGCAGTTATGAGTACAGGCATGTGCCACCATGTCTGGCAAGGACTTTTTTTTGTTGTTATTTTTTGGTGCCAGTGATTAGACCCAGGGGCACTTACCATTGAGCTACATCCCAGTTCTTTTTTTTTTAAATTTTTTGAGACAGGTTCTCGGTAAGTTTCTTGGGTCCTCATTAAGTTGTTGAGGCTGGCTTTGAACTTGTAATCCTCCTGATTCAGCCTCCCAAGTTGCTAGGATTACAGTGTGTGCCACCATACCCAGCTTGACATGGACTTTTGATTCTAATATCTTTTTCTTGAAACCCTCCCTCAGTTCTGGCCCAGGAAGCCTCTACAATAATAAATTTGATTAACTATTTTTGTGTATCAACTATGAGCTTATAGGGAGTGTAAGCCTATCACAGCCTTCTCTTCCTGGGTCAGTCAGGACCCAGCAGGTAAGTGAAAAAGAGCAATACTCTATGCTGGATCCCACACAGAATGGGACAAAGAGCTTCCTCCCTGGTGGAACCTTCTAGAATGCCTTGGGTCTGGTGTGTGGCACAGATGTTGGATGCACGGCCCTGCTCCCTCTCAGGGCCAATAGTGACACCCAGAGAGCTTCAGACATGGAAGCTAACAAAGGCCAGAGAAGGCTTCCTAAAGACACCTCCTCCTTAGAGGTTCAGAAGGTGAGTGATTTTCCAAGGCATCTGCTCCCCACGCTAAGCTGATATTGCCTTCTTACAAAGCTCCCCGACTTCTGCAGAAAACCAAATATCATTTGCCTCTAAATCAGGAGAAGCAAATGATATTATTTGTTTTTCTGTAAAAGGATCAGGTCATTTAAAAAGACTCTCTCTGTCCTTAGAGTTCAATTCATTTACCTTAAGCAAACATAAAGTAGCAACCAGAAAGCTTCACCTGTAAAAGACTGCAATTAAAGTGTAATTTGGCTTCACAGTGTGGGGATTTGAGAAGAAACAAACTAGGGTGGAGGAAAACAAAGCAACGCAAAGGAAAGAGGAGAAGTCTGGTAAAGAGGAAGGAGGAACAGACCAGAGCGGCACAGAGCAGCACAGGAAGAGACCCGGGCAGGAGGCTGAGGCCGGCGTTCCCAGGGGGCGGCAGGTGGCTGTCCTCGTTCACAGAGGGCACTGTCCACCTCCCTCAGCCACCTTCAGCCTTACCCTCCTGTGGTCAGGTCCACGTGTTGACCTGAACAGCAGGGACATGCATCGCCCAGGGTGCAGAGCTCAGCACACGCGCAGCCCTAGGCTAGATCCCCAGCACCAAAAAGACCACTCTTTGAACACAGCAGCAGCAGCAGCAGGTCCAGGTCCTACGGGCTGGGTGGTGCACGCCACGGAGGGCAGAGGTGCAGTCCCTGTCCCCTCATGGCACTCCTGGGTGACGCGTATCCTGACTGTGGAAGTAGCAGGATGGCTTTTGACGAATACGCGACACGAGCTGTGGTGAGCAAGTAGGGTGTCCAGGGACGTCGCCGCCCCTCTGGGCATCTGCAGATGCATGGCCCACGGGTTCCCTTTGTAAGCACGCTGCTGTCCTCTTCCTCGGTTCCCTTCTTTCTCTGTGCTGTGTCCCTGCAGAGAACTTTTAAATTCTGGATGACAGCTGGGGCAGAGGGGAGCGTCCTGTTGCCCTCCTTCCCGACAGGCTTCCGGCAGCAGGACAAAGACGCAGCTGGACCAGAGCCCGGGACTAAGCCACGTTCTGGCCTTTATGTGGTCAAGATAGTCGAGTTCCTGGTAGGCTTTGTCCATACCATTCAAGGCCCAAGTTATTGCAGGAGTCTATTCATTTCTTTCTCTTTTATGAACATAAAATACTAGAAAATTACTACCAGGTCTTACACTGGGCCAGGTAGTTCCTTGGCAGAGTAAAGGCGAGAGGGGTGCTGGACTGGTCAGTTCATGAACACAAACCAGATACACAGTTTAGATTTTGGATATCACCAGAAACAATGTTGCAAAAATCAACTTCTCTCCTCACCACAAACCCTGTGTCAGGGAACACCTTGATTGGGGTCCAGTCCCTTCATGGGGTCTCTGCACAGTGGCTCTAACCCATGACGTGGCAGTGGGGGCAGATCCCGTGAGGACAGCAGTGGTCGGACTCTGGAGGCAGCATCCCCATCACCTCAGTGGTCACTTGTCTTCTCTGGGCTTTGGTCTCCTAGATGAGGAGAGGAAAGAAAGATGACCACGGCACCCATGTCCATGCTGTGGCCTTTTGATTGGTCGAAGTCTTTCCTCTGAAGGGGCTTCCTCTTCCCCTTGTAGGCAGCAGAAGTTCAGGCCTAACGATTTCTCAACTTAAAAGCTGACTTCAGAACAGCCCTGCAGCCCAGCACAAGTCTCAGAGGCTGCTTCCCTCTCCTGCACCTTGTTATGGGTCCCTGTGGTTTATGGAGCTACCGTGTACCCTGGACCTGGAGAATCCATGCTTCAAGAATTCAAGTTCAATGAAACGAAAAACCCCAAACTGCAAGAAAACAACAGACCTATACACCGTTTCAGGATTCCAGAGTGCCTTGTCCCTCAGAGTAGGGCACAAGATTGGCTCTGTTGTGTGTAAAACTTACATATCACACCTAGTCTTTGTTCTGCAGCAATGGTGTTCAGGGCCCGGGAATCCTCTGCAGCACACGACGTTGTCTATAAACTGAACCATCTCCAACCACATATGTATTATCATATTTCAAAAAACGTGCGTAGGGGCCGGGGTTGAAGCTCAGTGGTAGAAAACAAGCCTAGTATACACCAGGCACCAGCTTCAAGCCCCAGCACAGAAACAGAACAAAATAAAAATGTGTGTGGCTAGTTTTGAGATGAATTAAGTGTAATCATCTAAAATCTCTCCGGAATCCATCCTGACTCCTTGGCACTGGAATTCCTCACTCAAGAGCTGCAGCAACCAAACACTGCCATCTGTCTTTTTGGAAGTTAGATGGTTTTTATATTAAACTGGGGCCCACGACAGAAAACAGAAGGTTCTCATTTGTAATGGCATAAAAACTTGAAACCTCCATATGGCAAAAGATGCCATAGAAAGAGTAGTTGGATATGTTTCCCTGCCTTTAGTAGGAAGAGAGCCCTCGAGAGCCAGGAGAAACAGCTAAATATGGGGTCACCAGACCTAATGTCAGTCACAGGGAGACAAGCCCCCGACAGGGCACTGCTTTTTTGTTTTCCTCCTAATTTACTGGCCAACATTTAAAATATCGATGATGTATATATACGCATAGAAACACATCTCTAATGATGGTCGTTGCAGCATTGTTAGAGGTGAACAAAAATGGAGACGATCTACATGCTCACCAGTGGGTCCTGAATGGACAATTCATGGTCCAGCCACGCCACAGAACGCTAATGCAGACATCGACATGAGCTGGCCAGTGTGGGAGCACGCTGTGGACAGCCGCCCTGACACAGGCTGAGAGCAAAGGGACAGTGACAGGCTTCACCAGGAAAGATCAAGACTTTATGTAAAGAACACGCATTGTCCATGTCTCCACCCTGATGTCCCTTTATCTCTACATGTCCCTGTCTCCACATATGATTCTGTTTCCATCAATCTCTGCCCATCCATTCCTTCGTTGTTTTATGCACCTAGGAAACCGTCTAGGATGACATACGGTAAACTCTCGGGAGTCCCCTAGGAAGCAAAAATTAAGGAAGAACAGGGATGAATTTTATATTCTGCCTTTTCACTTATTTGTACATTTTGAATTCTTTGTTTCTTGACACATCTAAACAGATGAGGAACAGCAGTTTCTCAAAGAGAATCCTCACTCCTGGAAACAGAACTCTGATCTTGAATGTGAGTGCCTTCTGCTGTGGACTCCCCCCCAGGAAGACCCTGCTGTGGCCTTTCGAGAAAGGCCAGGAGGAGCTCCACCCTTGGCTAGTGGGGGCTCAGTGGACTCCTTGCAGGAGGACTCACCCATCCCCGCTGCTGGGCTGCTGTCCTTCCATAACCACATGTTGGGTGTTTCAGGGCCAAGCCTGCCCCAACTTGCAGCTACCCTGGCCCCAGAGCAGGACCTCGGGGCAGGCTGGAGTTAGAGAGAATAGCACTGGTTAGAAACGGGAGGTGGGAGAGGCTGGCGGTGCAGTGGGCCTGGGTCGAGCAGTGTGGACCTTCCAGCTCTCTGTCTCCTGGTGGTCTGGTGTGAAGCACTCTGTCTCCAGCCTCCCTGGCCAGTGCCATAGGCTCCTAGCATGTTAGAATCAAGTCCAGAAGCTTCCTCAGAAAAGCCACTGTGGGGGGAGCAGAGGCAGTGAGCACCTGCCCCTGAGCACACTGACCTTCAGACCCCACCCTGCAGGGCCCAAGGGCCTCAGCCACAGAGCAAGGGAGTGCTGTGGCCCAAGGCTTGGGCTTTCCACTGACCACAATGATTGGAACTGACCCTTGGTTCTCCATAACTCATTGGCCTTCTTGGAGTTATCCCAAGAGGGAAGACCCTGGGACGGAAAGAAATAACCTGCTATGAGGATGTGCAGTCGTGATTAGGGATCTTTATGTCTGGAATCTCGGGAGGCATAGCCCTTGCTAAGTACATACATGGGCCATCAATACATCACCTGCACATGTTCTAGAAAACGATGCAAGTCAGTGACATCAGCGGTGCATTGAGTTCAGGGGAGGGAGAAAAGTTCCAGGAGTGTCCGGGTGGTCTCTCCAAGGCACCTCGGCGAATCCTTGGGACTCTTCTCCTTGGTTTTCCTCCCTCAAGCCAAACAGGTAAAATATTCCAGTGGCTACCTGAACATCCTTGGAAAGTGGAAAAATGACCTTGAATTATTCTAGTGAAACTTCTTCTTGGGAAAAAAATGGCCACCCACCCAAGGTTCAACAGCCCAGAGATGAGCCACTTGTCTGCCCATGGTTAGCACTCGAAGCTCAGCAGACCTCCTTCCCTAGAGGTCACCATGGAGAACAGGTAACCCTCCCCAGGGGCAGGCAGAGCAGACGAAAGCAGAAAGGCGAGTGGGGCGTGGAGATGGAAGGAAGGCTGGCCGCAGGGCAGCTTCCCCGTGCAAGCCACCCCTTGCTGGACACCAGGCCTTTCCTGCCTCGCTCAGCCCTGCCCCTGGCTGGAAGCTCTCCTTCAGCTCCCTGGCCCTGCCGATGCCCTGACCAGGCATCTATAAGTACAGGCCATTAAAGGAAATTTTTGAGGGCTGGAGATGTGGCTCAGGGCCTTGGGTCCTAACCCCAGGACCAGGGGGAAAAAAACATCTTGCAGCATGTCCGTGAATCCTTGGGAAAGAAGACTGAAGTTTCTTAAGCCCCCACAGCGATGGCCTTGCTGTCCTGGAAAGAGCACACCTGGCGAAACTCAGCCGCATGCAAGGTGCTCGTGACCGGGAGTGAAGGAAGAGCAATGTGTGGGCCTCTGGGGCGGCCTCCTTCGGCCCCTCAGCCTCTCCCGTGCACCTTGAGGCCTGAGTTGAACTAATAAGGCAGGCAGTGACTCGGGCCTCTGGAGGCTGGAAAATAGAAATGGTGGTTGCTTGACAGCTGATGGAATTGAAGCTTTTTCTCTCCTTTCAAAAGGAAACACAAGATTCTGCACATGATTTTGGGAGGCTCATGGACCTCTGAACACATTTATGACCCTGGGGTCCACAGATGCCAAGATACTCCCCTGTGCCCCGTGCTGAGGGCAAAGGTTTTCACATAGCCTGGGCTTGGGTGGGCCACATGCAAAACTGAGAAAGTGCACTTTTCATTTTCTCTTCCTTCCCCATCCCCTTTTTCCCCTTCCTTAAGAATGAATCCTGTATTCTAGTCTCGCTTGTTACCTGGATATAAACAGTTGCTGATTGGGCTCAACTTGATACTTGCAGATGAAGCACAGTCAGTTCTGCTTCATTCTGACATGTGTGTTTGTGAAAATCACTGCACTGTACAAACTCACACAACAAAAACCACAGGCTCACGGGGAAAATGAGGTTAGGGCACGGCAATCAGAAACTTTATCAGTGACACTGAAAAAGAAGACAGGAACCTAACCGTTTGGACACGCTCAGTGGTTAAGAGCTGCACACACGCTGCTGTGTGTGCCTAGAGAAAGACCTGTCGTGGCTCACCGAGACGGGGATAGGAGGGCTGCAGTGGGTGAGCCATCGAGAGGCCGTTAAGGAGGCTTCTCTGGGATGGAAAACAGTGACAGCGATGTGGATGGGTGTGGCTTGTGACACTCAGAGCCTCCGTGGTGACCGGTGCACGTCTGAGGAGTGTGTGTAGCTTGTGTGTTCTCACTTGGCTTGTTCAGCCACATGAAGCTCTTTGCACCACCTGCACGTAAGAGAACACGACGTTCAAACTCATGCTCAATTTATGCTCAAACTATTCCTTGAGCTTATGCTCAATTTATGCTCAAATTATGCTCAAACTATTCCTTGAGGCGTTCGTCCCATTAGGACGAACTCGCATTTGAAAAGCAGGTGCTATAGCAGACTGATGCATCCAGACCATCAACAGTAAACAGCCACTAGACACTGGTGAAATGGGGCTGGACGGACAGCAACAGGCTTGATATTTGTAAGCAGAGAACAGCCTTCCTAGCCTCGGTGACTCAGCTACATCTGTGCCTCCCGGTCCTGATGTAAGGTCCATCTCAACATGGTGACAAGTTCAAATGATAGGCAAAGTGGGCTAAGGGACCTTGAAACATGCTGCATCCTGACTGAGACACTCAGGGCTTCCTGGACAGCCCCATGCACCAGCCCTGGATAGTACCCATGCATCTGACCCCTGGATGGTCCCCACACATACCTAAATGGTCCCCACTAACCCTGACCCCTTGATGGTTCCCATGCACCTGAACCCTTGATGGTCCCCACGCACTCTAATCCCTTAAGAGTCCCCATGTACCTGGCCCTAGATAGTCCCACACACCCTGAACTCCAGTAGTCCCCCCACATCTGACTCCCAGTAGTCCCCAGGTGCCCTGACCCCTGGACAGTCCCCACACACCCTGACCCCCAGTGGTCCCCATGTGTCCCGACCCCTGGACAGTCCCCATGCACCCTCACCCCTGGACAGACACATGTACCTGGCCCTAGATAGTCCCCACACACCCTGACCCCCAGTAGTTCCCATGTACCCTGACCCCTGGAAAGTCCCCATGCATTCTGACCCCCAGTGGTCCCCAGGTGCCCTGACCCCTGAAGCCCACAGCATGCTGCAGCCACACTAGTCTGGCTTCTCTCTCCTCTTCATCTGTCCTTGTCCCCTGGCCTGCGCCCTCCAGAGCCCCCACAGAACACTGCTGGCTGGCTCCTGTCTTCTCCAGGAGTAGCCCCATCCCACAAGTGTCGCCACAGACGGACCACCTCATGGTGCTGAGGGCCGGAGGTCCACGAGAAGCTCTGCAGGGCTGAGTCGGGATGGGCAGGCTGGCCCTGCAGAAACCTGGGGTCTGCCCCTGGCCCTGCGGCTCCCAGAGGCCACCGCCACCTGCTCCTGTTGTCACAGCTCCTCTAGACCTTGACCTTCCCTCCTTCCCTCCTTCCCTCCTCCCTCCCTCCCTCCCTCCTTCCCTCCTTCCCTGCTTCCCTCCCTCCCTCCCTCCTTCCCTCCTTCCCTTCTTCCCTCCTTCCCTCCTTCCTTCCCTCCCTCCCTCCTTCCCTCCTTCCCTGCTTCCCTCCCTCCCTCTTTCCCTCCCTCCTTCCCTTCTTCCCTCCTTCCCTCCTTCCTTCCCTCCCTCCCTCCTTCCCTCCTTCCCTCCCTCCCTCCCTC